AGTTTAGTTCTGTTAAGTCTTTCTGGCTATAATCAGACTACCCTACAATCTTTAAGAATTTGTGCACCAATAAATTAAAAATATTGAACTCACTAAAAGTTTTGGCTGATATTTACATTATATTAGTCCAAACTTCCAAACAAGTGGGAAAACTGTTGATCTGGATTGTCAGACACTGCCATCTGGTGGAGGAAAACATGCTCTGTTACTAAAGAAAGCACTAACTTTGTGTGTCTTTGATTCTTTGCAGGTTCTGGTAAAAAGGAAAGAGGAGCACCTCCTCTTCCTCCTATACCCAGGTGAAGATAAGATGGAAACTATCGCAACACTTGGAACTACCCCCTTCGTCTACCTGCCCTATTTGTCTTTTTTGTTGCGCTCATTGTGCTTTGACCTGCAGCATGTAGTTCAAGTAAGAACTGCAACATGTAAGATGGACCTGAAATACAGTTGTCCAAAAAAAAGGACAAACTCACAATGTGGAGTTTACATCATGTGCCTCTGTAACAGCAGAATGACACATTAAATGACCAAAGCATGTTTGTATTTTGGTACACTTTGTCTAGGTTTACAACCATGCTGTTTTATTTGGGTGTCCTGAGTCATAGCTGCCTCATGAGCAACAGTGGTTTCATGACCCTTTATGCACATCGACTTTATTCCAATAACTTATTTAGTCTTTGCTTACAATGTTTGGATTGCATAAGCTGCTTGCTAGTTATTCCTTTCTTATCGACCAACCAGTTACACTTTTGAAAAGGAATAGAAAAGCATACTTGACAAATGTGGCATGTAGCGCATGTGACTTTCTGGGACTATTTACGGATTAAAACGGATTAAAAATCTTATGACTATATTTTAGTTCCAGGATTGTTGTGTAGTGCAAGGCTTCTTATGCAATCAGTCATCTTATACAAGTGTTGAAAAGCTGCAAGCTGTCATTTTATGAACCAGTGTTTCCCTAGTGCCTTTTCTATTCATGATTGTACTTAAGGTTACTTAAAGGAATTAGCTAGGGATGCCTTTTGTGCCTTATGATGCTTATGCCTCATCTATGTGTTAAGTTGGAACAACTCTGGTGATGTCAGTGTTGAAACAGAAGCATTGACTGCCAGATCATTTAGAACAGAGGTTCTCAAAGTGGGGTTCAGGAACCTCAGGGAGTCCACAACTTAAAGGTCCACAAAATAATTTTCTTTGAAGAATGTGGTATGACTGAAAATTGCATACATTGTACATACAGGGACCATTTGCGCAACTACAAAAAGCATCATTCCCACATTATCAATAAAACAGTTAGAACATCAGTACTATATCAGCGTGTCATACTTACATAGACCTAGACATGGAACCAAAGTGTAAAAGGCCTTAACTTCCAGGCTCCACTGCAGAAAACACATCAGGGGAAACATGAATGTCTAATTTGCCAAAACCACATGTGCCTTAACAATGTGCATCTGTGTGTTTCTGTTGGAGCCACTGAATGGTACGTTTTTTGTTTGTTTGTTTGTCTTTTACAGTTATGTGTGACATGAGCTTGCTTCTAATGTTTATGATTGAGGTGTTAAAATACATTTTGTGTGGGAATATGGCAACATAATTGAACTGATTTTTGTTTTGCTTTTTGCTTTTTTTTTTTTTTTTTTTTTTGGTCAAAGCTCCCTTGACTTAATATGAAGGTCATGTGTTTGTATCAGTATGATTTCAACAACCAATATTGAATGATGGTATTATTTTAAGTTATGTTTAAGAACTGTGCAGTATTATGTGTTTGCTTCACAAAGCGCTGCTTTAAAACTGTCCTGTCTACATGATCCATCATGTAGGGATCATGTATACATGATGGATCATACATATACAGTACATGTATGGATCGCGTATGATCCATATATATGATACATGTATGGATTTTGAAACCTACATGTCAAAAAGGAACTCTTAAAGACAATCATACACAAACTTATTTACTTTAAAACAATGCTTTATGTTCTTTGCTTGGGGGTGAAAATGGAGCGCTTTTATTCTGTTATGCATTGTAAGTAATTTGATATGACTGTACAATGAGCATGTGATAAAATGGGAACGATGCATTGTAGTGGCAGGAACAAGATGAAGTGACTTTTTTCGGTATTGCCAAATAAAAATATGCATCTTTTACATATCTGTGCAATAAAATCAGCAAATACATTGATCTGAGTGTGATCAAAGACGGCATTGTCTGATTTGTTGTTGTTTTGTTTGTGTCTTCTGTAACATAATTAGGCAGAATTATTGTATATGCAACTTTCATTACCCAGCAGTATGACTGATTATTATTTCACATTGTGTTACTGCAAGTGCAGGCTCTATCTCAATCTTTTCTTGAGCTGCAGAACTTGGGAGTTGTCTCAGACATTTTGTTCCTTTGGCATAATTTATCCCTGCTTGATGTGGTGTATCACTCAAATCACAATGTAATGTTTAGAAACCACCCTGCTGAATTAGAGTTTAAAAAGCCCACATTACGAAACTAAAATATAAGAACTGTTTTGCAAGTATAAGCTCATCCATTTTTTTTCTTTCAGTTTTCAAATTTCATTATGTCATTATTTTTAGTTAGATGAAATTATGTCAATAAACTGTGTCTGCCCCTTAACATGACTGTCATTTCCCTTAGTGATATTGAATCCACACCCCTGATGTAAACTGGATGGATTTTCATCTCCCCATCGTCTTCCCCTTATTTTTACCCCTCCTTCCTCTGAACTGATTTATGGTTTCCCATCATTTCAGTTACATACAGTCTTCTTCACGTTACTTTAATAAGTATATCACTTCTGTGACTACATACCAGTTCAAGTCTTATTGATGGACTTGAAATCCAACAGTTTTCCTTGCGCAGGCTCAGTCATACCTCCTCACATTTGCTCAGTATCATCAAGTGAAGGATTTATGCAGTAGTTGCTTAAACCGTAAAGGTATGTTTATAAAATCATCACCTCTGGAGCTTACAATCATTATTTGAGGCACTATTTCTTTTTTCACAGAAAACGTGCAACAAACATTTAGAGCTGATAAACGACAAAAATACCTGCAATTTTTGCACACTTTCCCTAAATTCAATAAATCTAGCGCACATGACGCTGCGACACGCCAAACTTTTTTGAAAACCCAATCACAGTTGTGTGCCAACATACCTCGGCGCTCATTGGCTGAATCATCTGTCAGTCATTTTTCAGGGCGTTGCCACATCTCAGCAGCTGTCAGATTGTATCCAAATGACAATATCACGGAATTGCACAGCGAGCTTTTCTGCACAACGATGTTCGTCTAAAATAGAGAGGTAGGAGGTGTCGCTGTGAAACAAAGTATTTTAAACAGCACACTCAGT